AATTTTACCTTAAATTGAAGCTTGTATTACGTATAATTACATACCTAACATAAATATGTTGGGAAATTGATAATTTTGTAATTAAAAGTGATATTTTTGGGCGATTTTCATTTGTAAGAATATTCTTCAAAAATTATCGTGTTACCATGACAACTACTTTAGATACTTCATGTCCGGAAAATACAACGGTTTTGTCAGCAAAGCGAGGGTTTCTGCATGCATGTATTTTCTAGTAAACCATTATTATTATTATTATTATTATCCCCGAGCCGGCGGCGCGAAGCGCCGTGCGAGGGTACTAATTCCCCCCCCCCGGCTATTTACACCCGGGGAAACGAAAGCATTAGCGAAGTCTAAAGTTCATCAATGAGCGCGGGCGTCGGTCACCAACGATGGGTGGTCATCCTCACTGATCTCAAAAATATGGCGGACTGTCATGAATAACGGACACTGATTGGTCCAATTTAAAGTTTGCATTATAACGGCTGCATGACGACAGCGAAATAGCAAACATTTCTTGATTTGATGAGTTGATGATTGATAAATTTCTTGCAAATATTCTTCATTTTTGCTCGTTTTTCTGCAAGATTTTGTAAATTTCAAGAAAGAAAGGGCGAAAGAATCAGCTAAAAGAAGGGAGCCGACGTTAACGAAGGTAAGTTTGTTTTAAACATTGATTTTATAATGACTTTAAATTAAAACCCGACGGCCTATACAAGACAGCATATAATTTCAGTGTATCTTTAATACTGATTCCCTTTTTTATTATATTGAATTTTTTAAATAAAAAATAAAGCAAAGTTATTTGCATGCGAGAATTTGAAATCATTTTATTGCAAACTCAGAGTTTATCGATAAAGCCATTTAATAGTTAAAGGCAGTTTAGTTTTATAAAGAACACTTTAAAACGTTTTGTGAATTGTTTGTGGTTGAATTTTACCTTAAATTGAAGCTTGTATTACGTATAATTACATACGTAACATAAATATGTTGGGAAATTGAAGAATTTTGTAATTAAAAGTGATATTTTTAGGCGATTTTTATTTGTTAAGAATATTCTTAAAAAATTATCGTGTTACCATGACAACTACTTTAGATACTTCATGTTCGGAAAATACAACGGTTTTGTCAGCAAGGCGAGGGTTTCTGCATGCATGTATTTTCTAGTTATTATTATTAAATTCGGCAAGGCTTGTCGTGACCTGGTGCACGCGCCATAATCACACCGTCGATGGTATAAACAGCGAGGTCTTTGAGTGAATTTGCTTTAACATATTTCAGAAGCTCGCAGTTTTCCCGGGTAAGATGAACTTTAAGGTGGCTCGATATAGTTATCACAAAAACTCTGCTCAAGAATCGCGAACAAAACTGGGTGACCATTTTCACGCCCAGATCGCGTAAACTGAGTATTGCAACGCTAAAAACTATTATTATACAAAAAATAGAAAATTCTATAATGCCAAAATTAAACAATTTACCAAAGAGTACGACATTTTCGCATTTTCCAAAAAATGGCATTACAGAATTTTTTTATATTTTGCTAATTGTTAGCTTTTCGTCCAAGTAAAATAATGCACAATATAAAAAAAAAATATTGGGGGTCACAATGCTTCTTTTCCAACTATACGAGACGATAGGTCATTTTGGAGTGAATTTCGTACACGTATGTCGTCATAGCAACGAACTGAGACTAATATAATTTGAAAGTAGAGATATCAAAATATGCAAAAAACCTAATATACGATAAATAAATTCTAAAATGCGTATTTTGGACATGTCAAAGTTTTGAACACATGAATTTTTGAAAACTGTATCGAGCCACCTTAATTTGCTTTGATGGCCACTCAATTTAACAATCATAGGCCGAGGAACTGGGTGATTAGAAGAATGAGACATGTTACGAGCACGACCCACCCCAAGGACACGATCAAGTTCGTTTCTTTTAACGTCCAAATTTAGTTCATCACACAATCGTAGCACATCATCGTAGCAGTTTTCATTATTTTCTTCCCCAAGTTCAAAAATTCTTATGTTGTTGCGCCTTGAATACTGTTCGTTGTCGTTTGCTTTAGCTTTGACTTCATACAGTTCGCTTCGCAGAGACGAAACTTCAGATTTAAGTGACTGAATCTCTGCATAAAGCGGTGTTAATGTTTCTTGTAGAGCAGAGTTCAGGGCTTCCACGAGTACTGTTTTAAAGATTTCCGAGCTTTGAACATAGCTGTCCATTTGAGTAATAAATTCTACTGAGACGGGACTATCAGCGGCCGTCATATTGCGAGTTGTCGTAGGCATAGTTCTTGTAGGTAAAAACCTCTTTACTCAAGCTTAAATAATTGTCAGCACCGTTTAGTCTTTAATTCGCCAGACCAACAGACAACAAATGCCCCCTTTACAGGTTAGCAAACTATAATATTTTCAGGAGCTAGCAAGACCACGTCCGTCGTGGTTGACGTCCGTTTAACGCTCCATGCATTCTTCTGCCGTTTTAATAATATCTTCCAATAATTTTACAGAGCGTGGGTCCAACAACACGTGCATCTCCATTGCCATTTTAGCGTATTTCACGGATTCTTGGCAATGAGGTTTCCAGGCACGATACGTTTTTGCCAACGCATAATACACTTTCGCTCTAAAAGGTGTGTGCTTCTCAGCGAGCTTATCAACTATGTCACGTGCTTCGTTTAAATTTTCCACTGACGCTTCAAAGCGGCGAAGAATAGAAAGGCACGATCCAAAATTCTTGAGCAAATACACGAAAGGCTCGTTAGAATCAAGTTTCAGTTTCTTCCGCAGTTGTATGGCATCAGAATAATACGTTAATGCCTCTTCATTCTTCCGCCAGGTAAAGTATAAGTCTCCTAACACTTTGTGACAAATGCAAGTTAATTCGTGTTCGCCCAACAACTCAATGGCTGATGATAAAGCTTGATTGCAAACCAATTCAGCACTCTTCATGTATTCCTCGTATTTTTCTCTATCGGAGTGGAATATTTTAGTTGCGCGTCTCTTATTCAAGTGTCCACGCTCGATTAGGACAAGTACCTCGTCAATTTTCTCGATAGAACTTCGATTCATGTTTTCAGGCATAGCCGTAATTTCATCTTGAAGATCAGGATATAGTTCATTCGTTTTTATAGAATAATATCGGGCATAAAAATAGTAACAATAGCTATACAAGGACCTATCTTCTTTCAGCACCGCATTATTTTTGTCAAACGCTTCTTTTATAGCCTCCATCCTGCCGATGTATTCAGAAGATTTCCACGCAGTTCTACGACCTTCTTGATCTGCTACTAAACACTGAAATGTGATCTGAATGGCTAGTTGCTCTCGACCTTCCGCTAGCTTTATACAGGATTCGTGAAAATTCCTTAAAACAGTTAGTGGAAGAAGGTCCCAGCCAAAATTGTAAAATAATCTGGATGACGACTTGTAAATATCACTACTTTCCAAGGACTCGATGATGTTTGATTTAAGATTTTTCGCTTGATCGTGACTGCAGATTTTGAATGTTTCTTCAACATTGTGGCCGTCCTTCTTCAGTAATTCTCTGGCAACGGTAAATCCATCTTTGGAGCAAGATTTCATGGTCCACAAATGGCACAACTTTAGAAAATGTCTCACCATCAATCCTTCTCCTATTGCCTTTTCATCTTGAAGTTCATCATGATCGGTCAGAAATCGTCGAATAAGCGAGAGAATCACGAAGCGCTTATCACTCCTACGTTTTATTAAACTTCGAGCAACCAACTTGTTTAAGAATTTTTGGGTTTCCAAACCATCTCTCTCGATTATCTCTTGAGCAGACTTCTTTTGGAAATTTCCATTGAACACCGAAAGACGAGCAAACGCTTTCTTGTCTACATTAGTCAACATTTTAAAAGAGACCTCGATGGCTTTTCGGACGCACTGGCTTTCGTCGGCTGACTGCAAAGCTTTCATAGGTTCCACTTTTAACCATTGAATCAACTCAAAAGGATCATCAAGATCTTCAATTAGAGATCCCGCGACACACATAGCAAGAGGAACAAAACCACACAGGTTAGCCAACTCAGACAAGTATCCATCTTTTATTTCGTTATTAGGGCAATACGTTCTCAAAAGTTCGACACTAGATTTTTCGTCCAACTCTTCTATCCTAATGTTTTTGGCGCGTTGGTTAGGAATTGAAAATGCGGTCCTTGTCGTTGTTAGGATCTGCAACTGGTGCTGTGAATTCTTGCGTAACGTGACCACTAACTCAGTAAATTCGGATCTTATTTCTTCTTCAAGCAATTGCTCGATGTTATCCATGACAAGGACGACTCTCTCCTTAATATTCCTTAACCACAACGCAAATGATAACATGAAATCTTCTCCAGGATTAACGCCAACGTCTAGACAGAGACGCAGAAAGACACCAGGCACAGTTGAAACACTTAACAGGTATGAGAAAATGACGATGATGTCATAATTATCGCTTAGATGATGGGAGACTTCAATTGCAATGGTGCTTTTGCCAAACCCTGGGCCACCAACAATGGACACAATTCCACAGCCGTTCTCCGTCAAGGAAGAAATAATTTCGTTTACTTCGGCGTCACGCCCAATGAACGTACAAGGTTTGTCAGGTATGCAGTTTTTTATTTGCGCCCGTCGTTCAGTTTCTTGAACATTCGATAGTTGTAATTGGCTGATGCGTTTTTCGAGATTCTCCAACTGTTCCTTGATGATCTGTCGGTCGGAGATTTGATTTTCTTTTAATTGATTCATTTCTCCATTCATTTGGCTAACTAACTCATCGCGCAGTAAATTTAGAGCATCTAACTCGGCTTCTACGATATTGGTTATTCCGCTAGTTTGTACAAACTTGATATCCTCTATACACTTCTTGACTTCGCCACAGCTGAAAACAATATCAAGGTCGGCAAGAATCTTATTGGCAGTGTCAAAAGCGTTGTTAAGATCAGCATCGGTCAACTCTTGATTTGGTGAATGCGCCCAAGGGTTTCTAACTCCTGAACGTAGCTTTCTAACAAGATCGAGATCCACACGCTTGTCTGGAGAAAAAATGACATCATCCATCCACTCAAGGACGTTTAGAAGAGATGACAAATCAGTGGATTCTGCGTCTTTGACGGTTCCCTTGTTGTGTCCAAGGATAGGCATAAAAAACTTGGCTACCTCCCATGGATCAACAGGCCACTTTGATGTGTCGCAGTTTTCACGCCATTTTATCTGACGTTTATTTCTATTTCTATGCCATTTAGCAAGCTCCTTGTACCATTGGTTGCAAGAGTGGCAAAGATTTTTATATTTTTTTTCTTTCTCGCACACTATAGGGTTTGCGCATCCACCTTTCAAACGGGAACACAGTTTAGCATGGCCTTTTTTTACGATCTGGTCAGTGTACGAAACAACAGGTTTCCTAATTAGATTGATTACTTCTCCAACGGTTATCCAGTTGTTGTGATCGTTGGACGGATTCATTTTTGAAGAAGAATTCCTAAAAGTAAAGCAAATAAAATACGATAAACAAATGCAACAAAAAATCAGTTAACCAAAGTGGACTCTATTTATTATAGTGCAACACCTAATTCACAAATTAAGAAAACGTTTTGGCGTAAAAATGTGGCAATAACACTTGATGTAGTATCATTAAGGTCTAGCTATAGTTATACATTTTAGTAAAGCGAATTCAAAGTTTCCAACTTATTTTTGGAAACTGCTAATAGCGATGTAGCGGTACAGTCGTTAGTTTTACTTTACAGCAGATTTGTCCGATGGTGTGCAAAATCACAGGCATTTTAATATAAATCGTCTGATAGATTTGTTGAGCATATGTTGAACATTTGCTGAACACACGATGGCAGCGCCAAATCGCAATCGACCATTTATGAAGTGTCTACTCAATAAAAGCCGTTGTTTATTTTTCACCTCAAAATAATAATTATATACTTAGGCAGGACATACTGTATATGTATCTGATATTAGTGATTATGACACATTTAAACTGTGTTCTCGCTCCTGATTGGTCAAAAATGACCGGATAATTCTCCATATCCAATAATTTTCATATTATTCCAGCTGCATGACGCAATCGATCAGTGATTCAGTGTGCAATATGTTTTTTTTTTATCCATATCCAGTAAAAATAACATATTATTGCACATTATAGAGCGCAAGCCCCAGAGCGAACGCAAACTTTCATAAAAGCCCGGGAAAATTAAAGCCCAAGTTTATTTAAGATTTTTTCTCGTTTAACGAAGAAAAATAGGTACGCATTGCGTACATGTGGTTAGCCTATAGGATTGGCAATTGTTATAGCGTCATATAGTTGATTTCGTACAATATAATGAACGAAATATCTTGTTTGATTTTTCAACCATTGTACCATAAAATTTTTATTCTTCATTCTTTGTCGTATAAAGCCAAATACCGTTACGGTATAACATTTTATGGTTTAGAAACAAACCAGAAAATATTAAATCTACTATCTCGTTGCAAACGGCTAAAATAAAATTTTAAAACTCTTTCTCGCCCAGTCCCAAGCATCGTAGGTCGCTAAAACTGGCAACCTTTAAGGTCCAGACACACCAGGCGCGATTCGACAACGCGACGCGATTTTTTAGTTTTTGAAAGTTAATACAACAGCCAATGGGAGCAAATCTTACAAGACATGTAGACCAAATAACGCAAAATGTTATCACGCTTCTAAATACTTGGAAAATTTAAACTAGGATTAAAGTTATCGGACAAGACTATTACGAAAAAGATGTGTTGAAAGGGACCAAAGTTCTGTTCGGTGAAAGGTTATGCACTTATGCCTTAAGGCGGATTTCCAGTCCTCGCACGAAGCTCCTCGCAGCTCGCTGCGAGTGCAGGCATGAGCACTTTCATCCAATCACAATGCAAAACAGTTAATTTTAATTAGATGCAAGCACTCGCAACGAGGAACTTCGTGCGAGGACTGGAATTGCGCCTCTAGTTGGCAATACATTGGCATTGTTTACATTGTTCGGGAAAATTGTGTGAAATATGGTATCGCTTAAGTTCTAAAGATCGTAAATCGCTATAATGTTCATGTTGACATTTTACTAAAACCATCCATAGGAATTGTTTCACTGAATTGAACGGTGGTATTTTCATCCACATAACATGCACTGAACCAAGATATATGAACCTCCAAAGTAAACCGATGATATATGTCCATATCGATCTGCTTCAATTATGCGCAAGCGAAAGAGTATGCCAGAGTCTTAAACTACAAAATTTCATGAACCAACGGCTTTTTCGTATGCCTTTAACTACAAAATTTCATAAACCAACGGCTTTTTCGTATGCCTTTAACTACAAAATTTCATAAACCAACGGCTCTTTCGTATGCGTTTAATTAACTACTAGAAAATACATGCATGCAGAAACCCTCGCCTTGCTGACAAAACCATTGTATTTTCCGAACATGAAGTATCTAAAGTAGTTGTCATGGTAACACGATAATTTTTTACTTTTTAAGAATATTCTTAAAAATTGCCGAAAAGTATCACTTTCAATTACAAAATTATCAATTTCCCAACATATATATGTTAGGTATGTTATTATACGTAAGATAAGCTTCAATTTAAGGTAAAATTCAACCACAAACGCTTCGCAAAACGTTTGAAAGTGTTCATTATAAAACTAAACTGCCTTTAATTAATTAAATGGCTTTATCGATAAACTTTGAGTTTGTAATAAAATGATTTCAAATTCTCGCATGGAAATAACTTTGCTTTCTTTTTTATTTAAGAAATTCAATATAATAAAAAAGCGAATCAATATTAAAGATATACACTGAAATTATATGCTGTCTTGTTTAGTTGTTTCATATACGCAAAAGGCTGTCGGGTTCTAAAGGAATTATAAAATCAATATTTAAGAGGCAGTCCGCGTAAGAACGGATAAGGCAAAATTTGGCCCATCGCCAATTTTCATGATCTTCTCAGTAAAAGTCAACCATTATATACAAGGAACAAATATCACGTTTATTTGGATCAATAACGATTTATACGTACTTTACGAGAGACGGTTTTCGATGACACCTCAAAAACTAGCAAATTGACTGTCGGGAAAGCTGTGTTTATGCTATACATATCGGGCGCCACCAAAAGTTTATTTCCTTCTTAACTCAGCTAAAAATTTTACACGTCAATTTTATAACTTTAAGTTATAATTTAACCTTTCAACCATAAAATTTTATAACATTTTCACTGAGATATAATAATTTATTAAGAATATAATACTAAAATTCCGAAACGCGTTTGGCGCTAAAGTACCTACAATCAAAGGCGATTTTCACAAAAGTGGGACCTAACCTGGAATTATTCCTAATATTACTCAAATGTACTAAGACTAGCTTACATACTTATGAAATAAAATTTGTGGGCATTCTTGTTTACGCGCCGTACAAGAAGTCCGCAATTCATAAACCTTCGACAGTTCGTGCGTGCATGCACCGCCAATAATTGCCAATGCAATGAAACAAGATCAAGACAGTTTGGGACGAAACTTACTGAATATATCATAGGCCTACAAGAACACACAAGTCATTAAATACCAGTTAGTTTTGTTTAAGTAATCATGCTCAGTGATTTTAAACATTTTAAGCCGTTTTAATTAATCAAAACGATACTAATTTGTTATTGGTATACAATTTAATATTTACTTAGATTTGTAAGAATTTGCACTCCAACAACATGAAGGCGTGAAGATTTGATTTTTCCCCATGCAAGTATTTCGAATCAAAAGTTAATAGTATTGTTTAACAGAATATGTCTTTCAGATTTATTTTGATGGAGTTTTTCTTTCGATATTTGTCATTTGAGCAGTGACGCCAGTCATTTAAACTTAATTGTAAACTTAAAATGCCAGTCACGGAAACTTGTAAATTTCATTTAATTATTAACTTACACCAGACTGCATTGCATATACAAGCCATCTTAGGCCTACTTCGAACCTCAGATGTCTTATGAATTTTTTTCTGTGTTGGTGTTGTGTACTCAGGTGAATAATATGTTTGCGATGTTACTCTGAGTGCATATCCACACCGGGCGAGCTTGAAAATATTATTCCAAAGGTCGTAGGTTCGAATCCCACCGTGGCCGGGCATATTTTTCAAGCTCGCCCGGTGTGGATATGCACTCAGAGTAACATCGCAAACATAAAACTCAGATGTCTTGTTGTGAAATGGCTAATTGCCTTCCATCCAATTGTTCTTTTCACGAAATCTTACAAACAGAATGTGGATCCAGTAGGGGCATTGATACACATGTGTTGCTATCTGAGTGCAAAGCTGATATTTCTGCTCATTTAGTGAGTTGTCGCTTGTCCCACTGCTTAAATGTTACAGAAAGCGAATTGATTCTGGCGAGAGCTAGGATCAGAGGGTTATCGTCAACTCATCTCGCACCCATGGGTATATTCCCAAAGCACAGGCATCTCTTAGGAAGATTCTGGCGACCTCCGAAGTCTTGCCAATACCCGAATCATTCTGGTAAAAAAACAAGCGTGGCTGGAAGGCACGTCATAAACTGGCAAATGGCTGAGGAAATATACCTTTTATTTGGTGTATCTACAGCTGTCGGATCACGTAAGTATATTTTGTTCAGTGTTCAAGCATTTATAGTCTATTTTCAAGCGGCTACGCTGTTAAATGCCTTAAATATATTTATACCTATATATTTATACCTCCGAAGTCTTGCCAAAACCCGAATCATTCTGGTAAAAAAACAAGCGTGGCTGGAAGGCACGTCACAAACTGGCAAATGGCTGAGAAAATATACCTTTTATTTGGTATATCTACAGCTGTCGGATCACGCAAGTATATTTTGTTCGGTGTTCAAGCATTTCTAGTCTATTTTCAAGCGGCTACGCTGTTAAATGCCTTAAATATATTTATTATTTTTAACGCCTTCAAAAATATAAGAAATAGGCAAATAGCAGTTCTTCGATTGAACAGCCAATTATCAACGATCTGTTGATTCAACTTTATTTTATATATAGCTGTATGTACTTGTAGCCGAAAGAATCATGCTGAGCGTATTCTAGCTACAAAAAACCTGAAAACAGCCCCTCTCGATAATCAACCAAGGTTAGTTTAATAAGTAATTTTTTATTGGGCGAACCGGGAGGGCGGGGGGGGGGGAGGAGGGGCCACTTAAGCTAAATTGGCAAAATTAGGGACGGACCATTTATTTTTCATTGGGCTCATTTTTGAGAGTGTTCGATTTTTTTTTGGACCTCACCGACTCTGCACGATTTTTTTTTATCGAATCTTGCCGCGTGCACGATATTTTTTTAAATTTTTACTATAGCGTTAATACAATAATAACCACGTATGATTATATTCCGGTTGAAGAATGTATTTGAATATACAGCATATAACCACAAAATAGGAAAGTATAGCAGAAGTGTAACCCACGAAAATTTTAACTCGCTCACGCCATCCTGGC